CGGGTGGAGGCTTTGGTGCATAAACGATCGCTGGGAAGAGCGGGGGGAGGAAAACGTCTGAGGGGAGAAAAGAATTGTCCGAGTCGTAGTCGGCAGGATTCGAACCTGCGCGGGGAGACCCCAATGGATTTCTAGTCCATCGCCTTAACCACTCGGCCACGACTACACATACTTACATTTATTTCTGCGCCACACTAGCTCTAACTACCCGAACTGCCGCCGCGCCGAACGGAGCCAGGCTGAGCCGCTCTGTCCCGGCCAGCCGCCTCAGAACGGGCCGCAGGAGCACGGCCAGGCCGCCGTCAGGAACGTTTTAGGGAAACGTTACCTGATACAACTGTGAGGATTATGGTTTGGTATTTAGGGCATGTCTCCTCATGGGGTGATGTGAAAGACATAAAATAGAGTTTATGCTTAATATATTTGTAATATAGTTCAGTATGCTGTATATTGGTCTGTTTAGAGCAAAAAGAAATGGTTACACTTCGCTAAGTCCTGCAGGAGAAGCCTGTTTTTTTGCATAGATTAGAAACACTTGTGGAGAGAATGGCCCTAGCCCCCATAAAAACAAGTATGCTCCCAAGCAGGCGTCCTCTACAGCACTTGGGGGAACTTGGGGCAGGCTCTGGGACGGACAGGGAGATGCTGGCAGTACTGGGCTGGGGGGGCGGCTGGTTCCAGCCAGTTCTGGCTGGTTCCATCCGGTTTCAGCTGAGGCCCTGAGGGAAGTGGCTGCAGCCCCGCACCGCCTCCCGCCTGGCTGTGGGGTTTCTGGGGCTTCGTGCAGTAGTACTACAGGCCTCCCTTTCCTTGACAGACAACTTAAGCAAGCGGGATTTTTTTTTTTTTGCGCTTTATTTAGCATTTTTGAGGAAAGTTCCATAAAACAGGGTCTTGCCTATCGCTGTGTTAATAAATCCAGTCAAACGTAGTATCAGTCACTGGTCTTCCAATGCGTGCTCCGGCCCCCTCTGTCTTCAGAGACAAGCGGAAGGTCAAATGTCTCAAGCTGGCCGTGCTGCCAGCTTTGTCAATGCCAATACTTTGAGACAAACAATGGAGGTGAATGCTGTATATTACTATATTTTATTGGAAACCCAAGGAAACAAACGAGAGAGAGAGAGAGAGGTCCTGTTAAGCAAAACAAAGCATTGCTGTCTCCTCAGGTCAGCTGACAGAAAGCCCGGTGCTCGTCCCCCCCTGTTGCCAAGACTGTTCAAAATTTGTCAGCCCATGATGAAGTGGGGGCTGCAGTCCTTAACAGCTCCAAGCAAAGCCTCTCGGTTACAAGGTGTTTTACAATTCTCCTGGTATTCCAAGTAATGAGTTGCAAGCCCTGTTTGAATTCCCTCGTACTTAAGCTTTTATTTCATCATTCCATTTTCCTCCTCATGCATCTTGGGGCTTCGTTAATACCCCAGCCCCTATCATAGCAGTGCTGCTGGGGGAGATGTGTTGGGTAGAACAGTTGTGAGCCTTCCCTGGGTTGATGTGATGGAAGAAACTAAATAGTGTTGATGCTGCTCCAGCTCTTTTAAGTGGTCCCTTGGTCAGGACTCGGTGTCGTGTAGGTAAATTCAATCCAGAAGAAGTGGATTTTTTGGTGGAATTTTTACATTCATCTCTCGCAGCTGTGGAGAGTTTAAACTAATCACAATTCTCCCCAGTATGCTATCATCTCTGTAATTTGAAAAAGGATCAGGAGCCCACAGGCTTGGAAAATCTTGAAGGAACTCTTAGACAAATTTCAAGCCGGATTTTTTTTTTTTTTGCGCTTTATTTAGCATTTTTGAGGAAAGTTCCATAAAACAGGGTCTTGCCTATCGCTGTGTTAATAAATCCAGTCAAACGTAGTATCAGTCACTGGTCTTCCAATGCGTGCTCCGGCCCCCTCTGTCTTCAGAGACAAGCGGAAGGTCAAATGTCTCAAGCTGGCCGTGCTGCCAGCTTTGTCAATGCCAATACTTTGAGACAAACAATGGAGGTGTTTTGAGGAAAGTTCCATAAAACAGGGTCTTGCCTATCGCTGTGTTAATAAATCCAGTCAAACGTAGTATCAGTCACTGGTCTTCCAATGCGTGCTCCGGCCCCCTCTGTCTTCAGAGACAAGCGGAAGGTCAAATGTCTCAAGCTGGCCGTGCTGCCAGCTTTGTCAATGCCAATACTTTGAGACAAACAATGGAGGTGAATGCTGTATATTACTATATTTTATTGGAAACCCAAGGAAACAAACGAGAGAGAGAGAGAGAGGTCCTGTTAAGCAAAACAAAGCATTGCTGTCTCCTCAGGTCAGCTGACAGAAAGCCCGGTGCTCGTCCCCCCCTGTTGCCAAGACTGTTCAAAATTTGTCAGCCCATGATGAAGTGGGGGCTGCAGTCCTTAACAGCTCCAAGCAAAGCCTCTCGGTTACAAGGTGTTTTACAATTCTCCTGGTATTCCAAGTAATGAGTTGCAAGCCCTGTTTGAATTCCCTCGTACTTAAGCTTTTATTTCATCATTCCATTTTCCTCCTCATGCATCTTGGGGCTTCGTTAATACCCCAGCCCCTATCATAGCAGTGCTGCTGGGGGAGATGTGTTGGGTAGAACAGTTGTGAGCCTTCCCTGGGTTGATGTGATGGAAGAAACTAAATAGTGTTGATGCTGCTCCAGCTCTTTTAAGTGGTCCCTTGGTCAGGACTCGGTGTCGTGTAGGTAAATTCAATCCAGAAGAAGTGGATTTTTTGGTGGAATTTTTACATTCATCTCTCGCAGCTGTGGAGAGTTTAAACTAATCACAATTCTCCCCAGTATGCTATCATCTCTGTAATTTGAAAAAGGATCAGGAGCCCACAGGCTTGGAAAATCTTGAAGGAACTCTTGTCCTGAAATACATCATCACATGTGGAAAAGACCACTTGCTGCATCATCTTAAAGGAGCTTAAGAATGCCGAAATCCAGTATCATTCTGGCATTCTTTCAAATGGCCTTAGAAATCTGAGTACATTTGCTTTTGACTGCAAAACAGCTTCTTTCCCTTTCGATCAATCCCGTGGCTGTCAATGTGTCTGCTGCAAGGTGCCAAAAACGTATGGAGTGTCTATGGGATAACACTGCCAAAGTCAGGGGTGCCTCAAGGCCTTCTCCCATGAACCCGCTGCAGCATTTGCTCAGTTGGAAAGCATTTGAAACAAAAAAGGAAAAAAAAAAAGAAAAAAAGGAGGCACAGACCTTTAAAAATTCCTTAAACTGCAATGATTGTTTTTGTGCA